GAAAGAGGTTGGGGGGGGGCAGACGAAAAGCAACAAGAGTCGTTAGATTGGACATAATAAAAAGAAACAGCATAGGTTTGTCGTGTGCCACCGGCGTGTTAATGGTCCTTTGCAATGAGCTCGAGGTTAGTGCCAAAGCGGAAACGACGGTCGGAAAACGCCGAAGAGAGGCGCGTGTTAACGTTGAAGCGAAACTTGGACATGCGGCGCTGCAAACCCAGGCACAACTTACTAAGCTGCGTCTGGATACGCCATTCCGACAAAACTACAAGACAAAATTTCGGAATAGATCTCCATGCTGGATCCACAGAGATAATACTGGAGCCATTCCGGACTACGAGGCGGCTAAAGAAAAACTCTGAAATACGAAACCGTCTAATAAATACTCACTCTGCTGCGTCTGGAAAAGGCATGCCATAAAAGCAATTAGCAAAACGTTCAGTATACATTTCCATGCCAGCACCACGCAAGTAATCGTTCAGCCATTTGGACGTGTTAAGAGACTAAAAATTTTGGCGATTGCTTTATAACAGAGCAAAAGGGCTACGACGACAGTATATAAACAATGAGATGGAAAGTTTCGCATGGCATTTGCGACTTTATCAATTTTGGACCATAACTTTGATAAGTATGCCTCAGCTATGGCCCTTGAAATACTATCACTTACACTCCTGTGCCGATTTGTTAAAGCAAGCGAAAACGTCAGGCCGAAAATGAAAAAAAAATAGAAAATTACTGTTTTAAACGACCGCATGGCAAACATGTTAGCCATCATCGTGGAAAATCCAGGAGCTAGACAGCTCTGAGCAATGAATCCGAGTTTTAGTTCCGCTAAGCAGATTACGTCATCACCGCGCCTCCAGTCCCAACTTGGAATATTCAAAAGATATGCCTAAAATAACATACATCATAGCTGTATGATTGGAAACATACTTTTGTATATAACTGTTCCTTTGATACGTCTATCTGTGGCGTCATATGAGAAGGGCAGACAGAGTTACTCGCACTTACACTGGCTATGACCTTCTATAGCTGCCATGCAAATGCTTAAGGATCGTGAAGACAACCTTCACGGTACATTCGATGACTAGCTGCTTGGAACGCGCCCTCATAAGTTCAGACCATATTGTATGAGCTTCCTGCTCCTAAGGTGCCACTTATGGAGGACAATTTAGTAAACCATGAATGAACGTTGATGCAACAACCTTAATTCTACATAATATCCTCACCTTATCTTCATCAAATTCTGTTCTACTATCTGCCATTTTCATCCATCTTAATTAAAGGAACTTCTTCCGCTTATCCTGCGATCGATTTGGAAGTCTTCCGGATGATTGGTTCTACCTACAACGTGTATAACTACTAGTCACCTTAAATCAGCAATGGGGCAATGACATCGCAGCTTATGTTTGCCTCTTATTCACAAAACCGAATGCTTCCCGTCTCTGGAACAAGGGCAGAATACTTTCCAGTCTTGAAACCTGCTCCACGCCATTTGCATTCTTCTGCTCATCTTCCGGAATAGTCTGAGATGAGCTGTCCACAAAGCTGTAGTTTTACAATAACTATCAATGTCCTCTATGTATCAGTTATATACACTACGTTACATGAGCAACCAGAGAATTGAGAAAAGATATATAAGCCTGTTTGGGACGTAACTACTGGTGTGAGGCTTCATAAATTTACATTCGAAAACGGCGTTCGAAGGGTGATGCGTTATCCCATATATCATTCACAGCAGGTTTGAAAGTTGTTTACAAGGCACTCAGTCGGGAAAATCTTTGGCTGAACATAGACGAGAATTATTTAACTAATCTACAGTTTGCGGACAAAACTCTGACCCCCTCAAGAGTACGAAGAGAACTCCAAAAATAACTTCAGTAGCTAAACGACGCCACCCTAGAAGAGGGACCGAAAATGAATCTGAAGAAGACTCAGATCATGCTTAACAAATACGTAACAGCGCGGCATTCTATCCAAGACAAATATATTACATATGCCATACAGCATATAGTATATATACTTTGCCGACAAATCGAAGTTTTTCTGAAACGCCACAATCTCATACAGAATGATACCAGTATATAGAGGAAAAGATCTTATAATGATGATGTTCATTATTTCTATTATATGTCAATGAGAACTATCATCTGAATACCTTGTTGTGATACTGCATGAGCTGAACGATGACTCTAATATCCGAAGAGTAGTTCTTTATCGAAATAACCCGCATAATGTTCGCTGCATCTTCGGCATCAGGGTCGGAAGAGTACTTATTGGCTAGCACTAAGCAAGCGTCACAATCATCTATCTGCAACATCACATAGATGGTGATCAGTTTCAACTGTAAAACACAGATTCCTTACCTTGACCCGTGTCAGATCGATGGAATCCATAACGGTGCCCTGGAAAAATTCGACCTTGGTAAAGTGCCTTTTGAACAGGCCTTCAAGCTCCAGGTCAGGAGGAACCCTGTGTTAACAGTAACCGATTAGACAGACGGACAAACTTTAACAGGAAACGTACCGGTGAAGGAAGACGACCTCGACGTCCACGTCCTCCCTGTCTTCGTGCAGAAAATCTTGCAGGAAGTGGCTGACCGACTCAAACGTGATGTAGCCGCATACAACGATGTGTCTTAAATAACCTTCATTACCGTACATTGATCAGACCGTTGGACAAACTCGCTTTTTTCCGTGTTCGCCTTTGTATTCACCACCATACTTCTGACGTGCACCAACGAGATCAGCGATTTCTGGCACGTAGCTAGCAAACATTGCCTAAAAGTCTGAGTTTATTGCTGTTGCCATGTCATCATCGTCTTCAGCTGATTTGCACACTGCAAACTGCTTTGAAAGATTCGTCGTCTCAAAGTGAAATCAAATGAATCGTCAACCGCAATGAAATCCATGCCAGTCGTAACGACGTGTCCATAGCTGCTGTCCTATTGCACACGGTCTGTGCTTAATTATGATGTCTGTTCTGGCCTTAACCATGTTGTCATGTCAACCTTTCAGTCACAGTCATAAAAGTCAGACAACATCCTTCCCGCAGTTACCCTGTCACGAGTCCAGGGTTAATGTGAAATGATCATTTGTTTCAGGTACAAGCAGTCAGATATACCTCTACTTTAAAGACAGCGACAACAGCAGTAATGTGGCAGAAATATTGTGCAATGTCCTATATCTCTGATATCCCAGAGATGTATTCAGTTATGAATCTTGGAACGAAGAAACGCTAGTGACGCCACATAGCCTCAAAGCCATGACCTCTCGGTTCTGAATCCAACGTTCAACCAACACTGAGCAATCTCATGTCCATTCCACGATACCTCAAGTACGGTATTTCAGTAAATTCATGACCTGCTGGTTTCATAAAAAAATACATTCACACTTATTTAAATGAATTTTCCAAAATTGCCTTCATGCCGCCTTACTGCTCTAATACTTACCAAACCACCCAAGATGAAGAACACCATGAAAAGCCTGGCCAGCGTCGTTTTGCAGTAGATGTCTCCGTAACCAACGGTGCTCATGGTGACCAGCAGAAAGTAGATACATTCCCAGTAGGTGATACGCTGTGGATTTTCAAAGTTACGGAACGGATCGCCGCTGTTCTCGAGCTCAATTAGGAGAAATAATAAGCACTTACAGAGCAAAGAAAATTAAATTATTATTAAAGATTGAAAAAATTATCAAGCAGTATAAGAGGCTTCCATGACTTAGGTAAAGCATTTGGCTCGACGGTGATTGTCCTATTAAAATGAAAACATAGGAACAGGCTTTCGAATGTCGTTTTCAATACATGCCAAGTTTAATAAAAACAATTCACTTTTCTACGTAAATAGCTTTATAATAATATAACTACTATAAAAAAATCCCCAATGTTCCGGAAGCTGAGAGGTTGTACTGAGAAAAGGAGAAGCTTCTGCGAAGAACAGAACC